AAAAGAGGAAGATATAATTTTTTGATGGAAGATATTTTTTCATTACAACATATACCGAATATATACTAATATAAATGCAATATATACCACCTGACAACTACGTGAATTAAGGAATTCCAGTTGCGGACATATACTGAATATATACTGACATATACTCAATATATACAATCTGACAACTGCGTGAATTAAGGAATTCCAGCTGCACTGAATATATACTAACATATACTCAATATATACCACATGAGCTGCGTGAATTAAAGAATTCCAATTGCGCGGAATTAAATGACTTAGTTGTTTATTATAGGCATGTTTTTCATTTCTCTCTCTTATTCAATTCCATAAAAAAAGGGATAGATGTTGAAGATTATAGTAACTGAATTTAAGCATTAATGTTACTAATTATGTATTAGGTAGATATGTAATTATTTATTTATAGATTGTATATTTACAATATTTTTAGAATCATGTAGGATATATAAAAATTTCCCTAAAACAAAATCTTCAATAAAGACAAAATAAAATCTTGTAGAGTCGCCATATGACTAAAACCAATGTTTTGATTTCCTTTGGGCAATCGACTGAGTTTTGCTTTTGGTATTATTTGGTTTATATAGAAAATTTTGATGCCATATTGTGTACATAATTCAAAAAGTTAACAATAAAAGTCAAGTTTTTCTAGTTAAGAATCATGACATTCATTTTCAATTATGTAATTATTTTTGTTGAAATATTACATGTGTATAGATAAATACCTCTTTATTATAACCGTTGTGGAGCCACAGTCGGATAGATGTTTAATTATTAATTGAATTGTTAAAAGTGAACGAGTTATGCTATTGGTTCGAGTGGTTGAATATTTGGTTTATTAATATTTTAAATATATATAATATTTTTAAATATTTTTTTTGTATAAATTTTAAATTAATATAATAAGCCAATTTGAAACATTCAAATACTTAAAATAGCTAATAATAACTTATATATATTTATTATATTTAGATATATATTTTTATTTATATTAAAAACATTTTAAAATATGTTAAAATTTAATTAGAAAAAAAAAAATCTGGAAGGTCTGGTCGATTTTAGACCGGTTCACTGACAACGGTTTATTACAGAGAATCACACCAGTCAACTGACCAGTTCTTGGTCCGGTCCGGTTTTCTAAATCCTGATCTTTACAAAATTACTTGTTATAATAAATTAAAAAGTATAAAATGGAAAAAGTATTTTTAGCTCACTATAGAGTTCTCATATATAATTAGAATACTTTTTAACGTGTTTGTTGAGTGAGGAAAAAACACAATTCATAATTTCAATTATTTTGTAATTTGAGTGATATGAACTCGTGCAAACCATATTTTCCTCACAATGTCAAAGGAGCGAGGATGACATGCTACCGGTTCCGATCCCACTGGTTCAGTTTCCAAACAGTTATATATTTCCCATCTTAACATTTTCGGTTGTGGAGCACGAAGTTCAAGGATCAAACTAGAATGAGTGATAATGAAAGAATTAAGAATAGATCATAGCCTTAGACGGGATATATCAATGCTCCATGGCTGTGAAATGCTCTAGCACTAGTCAAAAGCGCAGTGACATTTCTAAAATTACGGGTATTTTTAATTTTTCACGCGGAGGTACTTTGGTCACTGTGAATATTATATTTATAATATAAAAGTATCAAAATACAATTCTTGATATATCAAATTCTCTCTGGGAGAGCGATCCATATTCTCTCTGGGAGAGCATTTTCTTTTCGATTCTTGGTGTATATTCTTTGGATGATTTACCCTGATTCATTAATCTCGTTTGCAGTTTGTGTCAAATCTTGGTTATTTTTTCAATCTGAAAACCCTAATTTCTGATGGGATCCCACTCGGACATTGGGCAAGATGTCGAGCTCTTGCAAAAAATGGAGAATTTTTCCTTATCCTCTAAGGAAGACTCAGTTACAGATATTAGGCAATGAAGAATGCCAACGATGTCTGTTTGGGAAAGTCATGGGCGATCGAAAAGTGAGCTGGATTGGAGTTAAACGAGCAATGTCCTTTATTTGGAAGCTCAGACAGCCTATGGAGGTCAAGGAACTGGGGCACAACTTTTTCCAATTTATCTTTCAAAGCAAAGAGGATATGGCCAGGGTTGCTACGGGCAAAAATTGGAGTATTGATAACCAGTTTCTTGTTTTATCAGCATGGCACTCGGGTCTATCTAGTAACCATTTTGTGTTCCAAGAACTCAAATTATGGGTACAAGTATTTAACCTCCCTCTTAATTGGTTGAGTACTGAAGTAGGATTGAAGCTGGATCGGTTTTTGAAGGAGGTTATTAACGTAGTGGTTGTCAGCGCTGGCAGCCATGGGGGTAATGTTCTTCGCCTTCTGGTTTCCATTGATTTAAATGAACCTCTTATTCGTTGCTCTAAAATCAGATTGGGAGAGCAGATTGTCTGTGTCAGTTTTCAAATATGAGAAGCTTATTAATTTTTGCCATTACTGCGGGTTTATCGGGCATTTAGAAAATGGCTGCTCTAATCGCATGGATGACATTAAATCTAAAATTTTAAAGGAGGGCCAGTATGGGGATTGGCTGAGAGCTCCTGATGGGCAACACTGGGCAGGCATGAATGCAGCTGACTCTAAAGATTCTCCTTCTGATTCTCAGCATCCCGAGTCACATTCTCCATTAAAAACATCAACTAGCCAAGTGGAGGACAATAATCAGATAGTAATGATCCAAAGTGATTCAGCTCAGAAGCAGTTACCAAATGTTAATACAGTAAACTCTCTAGAGGAGAAGGAGGATATTTCTCAACCTCCTAAGGCTATGATGATGATGCATTCCCCGAACCCTGCTAAATCCACTTTCTCTAGCGTGGCTCTGAAACCACTAGAACAAGAGTCTACGAAAGCCATGGCATTGAATACCATACAAACTATCCAACAACATCTAGAACAAGAGCCTGCGAAAGCCATGGCATTGAATACCATACAAACTATCCAACAACATTTCAATTCAGAGCAAGTTGACACTATGATGCCTCAAAGAGAGCTAGCCAGAACATGGAAAATAGCTATTTCCAAAGATGGGAGACTTCAGAGACAAAGTACCTGCCTTTTGATAAAGGACTCT